ATAATTCATAGCTTAGAATTAATATATAATTAATATGAAAAGATAAGTTTTCCTATACAAATACAAACTGACCCTCTATGCTCCAGCTGCTCTTCCCAATCTCTCTCTCTCAATATTTTCATTCCCATGAACCTGCATTTGTATAAGTCAAAATTTTTACTTATTTTGCTAAATATAATTTTCAAAGTTACTTTTTCTGTAAAGAAAACTTGCTTTTCCAAGAAAACAACTTTCAAGCACTTATTTTAGCATAGTGAAAAAAGAATATTGTGATCTTACCTGCCCATCATCATCACTGTGGCTTGAGGATTAGTCCCAGGCGATTTCGTGAACGTTGAACCATCAATAACACGGAGCCTCTCAACTCGAAGAACGAGATAATCGGGTCCCACCACCTTGCCCACATGGCATCCTCCATGGTAGTGCCAAATTGGGTTAACAGTGTACTTACAAAACTGTTCCAAGGATTCTGTATCGTTGGTATCCTTAGGTACAAGATTAACATTAGCCTGAACACTCATGTTCAGCAGCTTCTCGACCATTTCGCCGTCACATTCCATGTAGTTCTTGAAATGTTTTGATCTCGATATCTTCTCTACGTGTCGTACGCCATCGACACATCTTTGTAGATCAGACGGATGGCTGAAGTAGTTGAAGGTGATTGAGGGATTATCATCAACATTTGTTTTGACAAGATTAAGGTGGCCGGTGGATAGAGGCCTCGCAACTTTTTCTAAAACGAAACCCTCCCATAAATGCTTCATGTAGGAGATTTCTTTTTCTTTTCTTGTAGGATTGGATTGCTTCATGTGTTCTTTGCTCTGGATGAATGGTAAACAATTGCCATATCTGATCACATAACAAGAAGACGATATATCTACGTTAGGAATTTAGCCCAAATTTCAAAGCATAAAAGAAATTAGAAACATACAAGAACAAACACAATGATTTACAGTAGTTCACTTTTAATTGTCGCTTGGCCTATATGTGAGGAAATATAAGGACCATCTACCACGTGTATAGAATGTCTTAAATAGGAATCCAAAACACGTTAGAATCTTACTTATGGGCTCTCCCTCGGAACCCTCAAGAAGTGGGGCCTAATGCCCCCTTGCCACCCCACCCAAACAATCTCACATTTTTGGCTTGTTTCATCTAGTGGATTTTATAATATTGGACAATACTAAAAAAAAAAGTATTTAAAATATAGCACATTGTACTATCATGTCCTATCCAATATAGCCATATGCCCACATATGAATTTCTACTCACCTCAGCTGTAACAAGTCCATGGTCCCAATGAATGCTACCTGAGGATTGTCCAAATCCACTGCTAGCCTCAATGTACACTCCCATCTTGGTAATTCCTACAGTCTGTACCAGAGATTGCTCAACGGGCAGACTAGTGGGAACATAAATCAAGTTCATGGGATTATCAGACATGCCTTTCCCAACAAACTCGTTATCAAGAACCACAGAAATGATCAACTTTTAGAGATGGGATTTCAGTCCAATTCCAGTTAGTGTTGAAAGTAATGTAAACTTGACCAAGTGAACTTTAGAAATAAAAAGAAGCTCAAAGATATCAAGATGATGACTTAGTCAAAATGTAACTTGATTAAGCAAAAGTTTTAATTGGATAGAAGAATTTTAGACGGTAAAGGAAAAGCTCGTCATTGGCCAAGAGTTTTTAAAGAAGTTACGTAACCATTTTGAACTCTTCTTCTAAAGGAGGTGGAAGTTACTTGAGCATCTTGAACCCTCCTTCTATCAAAGGATATGGGATAAAGTTACTTGCCTCAATTGACTTCTTTTACTAAAGGAGGTTAAGGAAACTACTTGATCAACTTGAACTCTTTTTAGTTTTTTTCCTATAAATAGATGTATTGTTATGTATTGTAAACTATCGGGTAGAAAAGAAATTGTAAGGTTTGTATAAGAGAGTTGTCGAGAGAAAATAGTTCTATTGTATGAAATATATGTTGTGAGATTTATGAAAGTTTGTTTATTTGAGTGAAAAAGTGATATTCTATCACAACTTTTACCCATCAGTTAGCAGTAGCAGTTGAGGGCTTCCAATCGCACCAGACGACAGTATAACTTCACTTCCGGACTCCTTTGAAAGAACTGCTTGATGTTGCATCCCATTTTCATCTTTAAAGATCACTCCAATTGTCCTTGGTTTTTTCCCTGCAATGAACATGTTGGTAATATTGTCTTAAGGAGAAAGTGTTATCACTTGCCTCAGATTTGATCTTCGTTTTCTACTCCTCCTTATTTTATTTTTCTTATTTGGCTTTGTGGTTTTGTACTACATTTCCATTTCATAAATTTGTGATTTAAACTACGCTCAC